GGATTCTCGCGCGGCATCCGTTTATTTCAAATCATCGGCTGTGGGGTGGCGAAACTCGCGGTTCGCGCCGACGACGCGCAGCTCCTCGTGCAGCGGCGTTGTGGGGGGGTCGTCGAGTGCCGGCTGCGGGATTGCTTCACCGGGGAGCACCGCCGTCGGCTTCGCGCGCCGATCCGAATCGCCGTCGCCCGACACCCCCTCCCCATCGCCTGGAAAGACGACGGAAACCCCAACGGCGGGGAAACCCCAGCCGACAACGCAACCGATGGAAACGGGCGCGCCCTTTCCCCCCGCCGGCGAACCACCCGGGCGCATCTTCGTGGGATGCTGCGGCATTACCACGCCGCCCTCACCCGGGAGGCCGCCCGGCGGGCGCCGAAACGGGTGAAACGCGAAACGGATCCCCCCCCGCTTCGGGCCGCCGACGGGGATGGGGAGGGTCCCTTTCCCCTTCGAACGCTTCTTTTCCCGGTCGATCGCGCGGTCGTGCTGTACGTGCTACGCCATCACCCGCGCTATTACCTCGACCTTCGGGGGTGCGGCATTCGCGAGGTGTTCGTCTCCGTCCGCGCGGCCACGATCGGCGATGGCGGGATGAGAAGAGGAGGGGGAGGGGGAGGGGGGGAAAGAAGAGGAGGAGAGGCCCCTCGCGCCTGCGATGCCGCCGAATCCGACGCGAGGCTGGCGGGAAATCCCGACGAACGGGCGGAAAGACCTCAGGAGGTGCCGACGTTTGTCGTGGAGCGCGTCTGTGGGTCCGTGGTGGAGGTTGATTTTGAGGCATGCTACGCGACGGAGCCGCCTTTCCCGCTGCTCCGGCATCAAATTCTGGTGGAGGATTCGCCGCATACCCGCGGCAAACGCCCCGACCCCTCATAAAAGGAAAACAACACCAACAACAAACAAAACACACCATCGATGAAACATCCGAAACGGCAAGCGGATGGTTTGTGGTTTGGTGTCGTCGCGATGGCTTGGTTTGCTTTTCCCTCCCCATTCCCCTTGAGAAACTTAAATCGGCTTTGAGTTTTTAATCTTTCTTCTGTCTCTACCTCAAGTGCGGACTATTTTGTGAAACGCGTACGTAGAGGAGTTGGACAGCAAATGGAGGCCGGAAAGGAATTCTGTTTGGTTGCGTCTTCCCATCCAGGCCGTGAGCTGTGCAGTCGTTATTTATTTCGATTGACTGCAATGAGTTGACATATTTGTGATAGTGAACTATTCACATTCCCACTCTTTTTTTTTTTCGTTTTGTCTTTCTTTTCACATGAAAACGTCTCTTCTCATTTCTGCAGAGTAATCTACCTTAAACGTGTGAGCGAGACAACCTCTATTTGCTTTATTATTATTGGTGGTAGTAGTAGTGTGTTGCTATCACCCTTTTAATATCTTTCTTATTTAGAAGTAAGACCTCTTCTTTCGTTTGATTCAAGAAAGGTTGGAATCACATTTATTACCCTTTTTTTTATTGTGAAACGTTCTTCCTTGGGGAGGGAGGGTAAAGAGCACTATTTTTCTATAGTAAAGAAGAAAATAATACTATCAATCCTAACGTAGGCTCATAGAATCGGAAAAAAAAAACAAAGGAATTGCCCTTATCCTTCGAATGCCATGTCAGCTGCGAACTATGGTTCGTGCGGAGATCCCGGTGCCGAGGGCGTCGAATACTTCCCCATCAATCAACCGAACGACGCCCACGAGACGGGGCGTTTGCTTTCGGAAGGCCACCTCAGGTTGACTTTCTACATCGACGGGATGACGTGTACGTCATGCGCGGAGAAGATTTGCGCGGCCGTGAAGGCGCATGGGAATGGGATCCGCGAGGTTCGAATCGACTTTGCCGATCGCCGTGCGGAGGTGCTGATCGTGAAGGCGAGCGAGGACGCGTTGAACCGTCAAGCGGCGCTCGCGGTGCGGGACCTCGTCGAGGCGTTGGGGTACCCCGTGCGGGATCTCGTCCAATTCGACCCTCCCCGCCGCGAATCCCCGCTCTTCCGCGAAACGAGCCAGACGGGGAGGTCTCCCGGGCACGCAAACGCCGGGGGGGGGCCGTCCGCGGTGGCGGCGAAGTCGACCCCCCATCCATCCCTTTGGCCATCCCAGCCACTCGCGCCACGGGCGACCCCGGCGGCGGGCGCAACCGAAGGGGGTTTGGCGGAAACGGTCGTGTTGATTGAGGGGATGTCCTGCGCGGCCTGCGCGGCGCGGATCGAATCCCGGCTTCGCGGCACCCCTGGGGTGAAATCCGCCGTGGTGAACTTCGCCACGCTCTGCGCGACGGTGCACCACGCGCGGGCGGGCCTCCCCTCGACGGGGATCGCGCGCGTCGTGGGGGCGTTAGGCTACCGCGCGACCGTCCTGCGCGGCGATTCGGGCGGGAACGAACGGGGCCTGAACCCCCCCCTTGGGGCTTCCCGTTTCCCGTTCCCGCCGCCGCCGGCGGGGTCGTCGTCGAGGCGATTTTTCATCGAGGGGATGCCCACCCCGGCGGCGGCCTCGGCGATCGCGGACGCCCTCCGGCGGCTGCCGTTTGTCGAGGCCTGCCGCGTTTCCTGCGAGAGCGGGATCGCCGTGGTGGAAATGCGGGGAGGGTGGGGGTTCCCAGCCTCGTCGTCGTCCGCGGCGGCCTCGTTCGGGGTTGCTTCCGCGGCACCAACGGAAACGGACGCGAAGGAAACCGCGGCGGATCCCGTCGCGAGGATACTCCGCGAGCTGCGCGGGATGGGCTACGACGCGGCGGTGCTTCCCTCGCCTGCCGAACCCCGTTTCCA